GTTTCTCTTTTTTTTTTTTTTTAAATCTGAAGCAAATCTGGCACTTTAGTATTTCTCAAAGTTGGGTGTTGAATACATAGGTACTATCTTACTCTCTATTAATCTCTGTGTTTAAAATATTTCATAATGAAAAAAGTGGGAAAATGGTTACTTTTACATAAACAGAACTTTAACAGAAACGAAAACCTCTATTGTCCAACGAACGGTCCAAATGAAAAGGAAAAAGAAACACTCATAAAAAGCTAGCAGAAAAAAAAAAGGTAACAGAAAATGTCACCCTGGCTTAACAGTGTAATTAAAGCTTATTAATTGTTATGTATCTATCATTATTAAATTAAGTAGTTACTGTGTTAACGCATTTTAGCGTTTAAAGAAAAGATTTGAGAACATGCAGAAATACGTTCCAGTATGTTGGGGATTTTTAAGCGTTAGGAAAACCTACAATAGCAGGTGACTTAACATTCGAGTCACACCATCTGAATTAAGATGTCCAGATGCAAACACAAAACAGACAAGGCCTTGAAACTCTTCTATCTCTGTAGGTTTTAACCTTTTTAAAGTTGTAGAACCATTTGATAATGATTAAAAACAGACAAAAAACCATAGGCCTCAGAAAAATACACTATTTTGCACACAAAGGGCATCGATAGGCTTGAGATTCAGAACTCCTCCTTTTAAAGTTGCTTCTTCAAATCTCAATCCGAAACATTAGCTGAATTATGCTGGAAAAGAACACAAAGCGTATAGGCTTGGGTTCCAGTCGAGGTAAAACCTTTCCGGCTTTCACCAACTTGAAAGACTGTTAGCTTTTACGAGAGACTGCTCCCTATCGATGTCGAGGCTGGGCAAACTCCGCTCTCAAGTGCTACAGACCAAAAGTCTTAAAGCGTTAGAGGGGATCCAACAGTTCTGTCAGTGTCCCGCAAACAGAAAGGGAAGCTGCCACCCTTTCTTCCAAGCACAGGGACCCAGAGAGGAGCCCAGGCGCTCCCGAAAAAACATCGCTGTCGCGAGCTGCCGGGTAGAAACAGCTGTCAGACGCTGAAATCCTCACCGTAAGAGCCCCGCCTCCACCTCAACCCCCACGCCCAAGGTTGGGGGCTGACTGAGGGGGGAGGGGATACCTCCCCCAACAACGGCCTCAACCGCCTCCTGCCAAGTCTTCGCTCCAGCCCACCAAACTCACAGCCTGAAGAATCCCACACTCACTGGAAAGTGGGGCCCGGTCCTGGCCCCGGCCCGGCTCCCGGAATTCGGCGGGTCTCCCAGGGTTTTGGGGGAGGTGGCGGCTGGGACGCCATCTCCACCTCCGCTCTGCTCCCGCTCCTTGCCCTGACTGTCCAGGCCCGAGTACGCTAGCCCCGAGAGCGCCAGGCGCAATGGGCGGAACACCGAGTCCTCCACCCCGCCCACCCCTGCAGTCGGAACAGGGCTTGTGGTGCTTTGCCAGCTGGGAGCAGAGGCCAGGAGAATGCCACTAATTTATGGGAGGAAACGCTCTCTTTTTATTTGCTCCAGAAAGAGTTTCTGTTCTAAACCTGAGAGGAACGACTCATCGATATTTCTGACAGCGGCTACAATACCCTAGACGTCGGAGCCTTCACAGAGGCTTCTCTGGGACTTGACCGGTCAGGCCGGGAGTAAACCCCTCCACACTCCATCACTCGCAGGTTAGGTGGGGTGTGAGGCGGCAAGCCAGGCAGTTTTACAGATTTCCCTACAGGAGACGGGTATTGGAAAGGTCACTTAGTTTTTATGAGAGAGGTCTGGTACTTTCGTTCTAAAGCTCTCGTTTCCTCGGGGAACCGAATTGCTGCACGCAATAGGTGCGTTGTCTTTACTCTTCCCTGTTTCCTCTGAGGGCCAGAAGGGGTTAAATCTCAGGCTCCAGCGTCTTGGGAGAAGGTGAGGCTAGCAGGTCTGAGGTTGGAGGGGTACGGACTGGGTGCTGGAAAGGTGGGGATGGAAGGGGTCGTTTCACTCCTGCTGCAGCGGCTTTGTTGGTTAGGAGGGGTGAGTACGAAGTTTCTGGGACCTGACCGAAGCGGGGAGGGCTTGCTTGGCCAAAACAGAGGCTGGAGGTTAGACCTTGGGATGAACTTTTCAAGAGTCACAGTAGATTCCATAGCTGAGTGTATCGGGAGCCCAATGAAGTTGTCATCTCCTTCCTTGGAAATCTACACCTCACCCCCGTGCTACAGGACGAATGACACCCTTCTATACGGAAAGAGGTTTTTTAAAAATCTCAAGATGTCAGAGCCAGTCTGGTCATTTTGGTGGTTTTTCTCATGCCTGCTTCTTCCTTCGTTTTCCATGAATGGTTTTTGTAATCGTCCAACACGTGGACAGAAAGTCCTTACTCTCTTCCAGTAAACCAGAGACTGGGCTACTTATCGTTGGTTTGTGGAGAAGGGATTCAATCTAGTAGGGATCCTGACATGTGGGAGGCGGTTTTGTCGCAACTTGTTCTTTCTGTGAAACAAACACGTGAACAAAAGTCAGAAATCTTAACTACCGAAACCAACATTGGAAAACTCACAATGTGGGATGCATTTGTCAGACCTTGCTTTCAAAGATAATACATCATATATGGCACAACTGACTTCTGATATTTTATGAAATCCTAACATTACATCAAGAGGAAACAACCAAATTTAGGGCGCAACATATTTCCTCCTTTTAATGTTATCGTGCTGGGGAAGTCGCTAGATTGTTGCTAGGTGAAAATGATGTTGAGAGGTTTGTAAATCTGTAGCTCAATTATTCACACACGCACACACACATTCAAGAGGGTTTTTTTTTTTTTTAAGACCTCTTCAAATTATTCAGAAGAGGTTTTGTAATTCTCAACAGGTTTAGGAACCTCAGCCAGGAGATTTTGTCATTTATTCACTATGCATGATACCTTTATTCTAGTGAACCTATTGGAGAAATAAACATTCAGTCTCTCTTTTTTTGGCAGGGGTGTGGGGGCGATACAGAGTCTTGCTCTGTGGCCCTGGCTAGAGTGCAGTGGGAAGATCATAGTTCACTGCAACCTGAAACTCCTGGGCTTGAGCAGTCCTCCCACCTCAGCCTCCTGAGTAGCTGGGACTACAGGCGCAGGCCACCACGCCCAGCTTTTTTTTTTTTTGTAATTTTTTGTAGAAACTGGGTGGAGTGTCATCTCATTATGTTGCTCAGGCTGGTCTCAAACTCAAACTCAAGTGATCCTTCTGCCTCAGCCTTCCAAAGTGCTGGGATTACAGGCCTGAACCACTGTGCCAAGTCCATTGAGTCTTTAACCAAAGAAAAGAGAGCATAAATTTTAATGTAGCTATTTGAGTCCCCAGGGAAATCTTTGCTACAAAGTATCCTTTTAAAGCACTTGTTCATTGACTTGTTTATTGCAGGAGGGTGTATTTGTTTCTCTTTTTGAGTTAAAAGTTAATTCTGACTTAAATAAAATCCTTGATCTTAACTAATGGAAAGGAGAAGAAAAAATAACTTAAAATAATGGGTAAGGCAGAAACAGTTTCTCTGTGAGGAGGTGTAGTCAGGGATGTACTTTAAATGCTTACATTTAGCCCCTCACAAAATCTCAATCCCTTCTCTGCATCAAACTAACAGATTAAATGGGCTGGGGGAAGGAATTAGAGCACTCATAAATAATAGTGACCACACAGAGCTTCATTATTTAGAGGGTGTTCTTCACATATTTTGTATACTTTCTTGAAAATGCCCTGGAGCCCACATTTACTTGGACAACCCTAAATAAGTGTTTCCCAATCCTGGTGTCTCAAAGTTCTCACTGGTGTGTCCATACAAGCCTGATTTTCTTCTCTTCCTCTCCCGGCTGACTCACATATTAACCTGAATTAGAACCCAGCCAAAGGCAATCTGTTTTTTGTAGTACTGGCTGCTGAACTTATTTCTATGGTGAAGAGTTGTGTAGAACTATATACCTGTTTTCCTCATTATGTTGTGTCAAGGATCTACTTCTCTTGGTAAGTCGCTGCAAATATTTAGAAACTTGCAAGTAAGTAGTAAGTTTTAAAGGGTTGGAAAACATACACTATAATAATCACAGCTTCATAGTAAGCTGTTGGTAAGAGTTTACCCTTCCATAAATTTTAAGTAATTTTCATTTGAATTATGAAACTGCACAAATTAAAAGGTGCCACTGTCTTTTATCTATATGACCACAGTTATACCATGCCACAAGGTTGCCATGCAATCATAGTTTCATAAAATACTGATAGTTCATCATTTTAAGGTAATGTGGACTGTTTCACTAATCAGATCTGTTTGTGTTTTTAGGGTCTTGCTCTATTGCCCAGGCTGGAGTTCAGTGGCTGCCATCATAGGCTGCAGCTTGGGACTCCTGGTCTCAAGTGATCCTCCCACCTCAGCCTCCCAAAGTGCTGGGATTAGAGACGAGAGTCACCTGGCCCAGCCCAGATTTATTTTTGCCAAACACAGAGTGAGTAGGTAATTTGAATTTTTAGTACTCCTCCGTCCTGGCAACAGGAGACTTATATTGTATTTCCTCCCATTCTCTATATAGTATTTTTAAATGTGAGTTTATTCAACTTGCAGAAATTGGCAACTTAATTAGGAAAATAATTTCCCGCAAATATTTTGCACTTGATTTGTTTCTGTTGGATACCTGTGGATGAAAGGAGCAGATTTTTCTCATTTTGCTAAGAGTTGGTTGCCATTTAGCCATTATATCATCAAAGTAAAGTTGATGTTTTTAGACCAACTGACCAATTTGTTTTAAATACTAGACTGCTAAACTATCATTAAAGTTAGTCAAGTATTATACAATATAGACTGATTTGATTTTTTCTAGCAAACTCATTTTTAATTTCTAATAAGAAAACTTTAACGAATTAACTGTGTTCCCAATACCAAATGGAACAAAACAAAAGGGATTTTACTTTGTATTTTTGTTTTCATTACCCTCAGAGGCAACCATTTTTTATTTTTTTAATCAACTTAGTTATATTGATGTACTTTATGATAATCTGGAATACTAAACTTAATTCCTTGACACTTGGAAACCTTTCCTGATCTATTTTATAAACTTCTTTCAAGTCTATGTTTTAGAGTATTCGTAAAATGAAAGGGGCATTTTTAGAGCCTACAAAACAATGTTTTTCAAATAAAAGTTAGTTTTTATCCCTAAAGTGGTGACGTATTTGTCTGTGACAGTAAAACACAGAAGCTGCTCATTAGTTTTACTTTTTGTTCTAGTTATAATTATTCAATATGTTTCCACTGACCGAAGAAAACAAGCATGTGGCCCGATTGTTGCTCAATACTGGTACCTGTCCAAGATGTATCTTCAGATTCTGTGGTGTGGATTTCCATGAACCTTACAAACTTCCATATGAGGTATTTTCATTTTTTTTAAGTTAAGATAGGTTCTTTATATTTTACAATGAATACTTGCACTTTTGAGGGCAAATATCTATCCATAACTCTTCTTTAAATTAAAAATTATAATATAATTACTGGTAATGATAATTGTGGAATTGCCATTACCTTAAAAAAATTCATCTCAGAAATGTAAGTTCCTTCTTAAGTGATTATGTCTATCCAACATTTAGTGTGGTGGGATCTTTGTGGAGGAATTCCCTGATACACTTAATGTGTGTATAGACCTTTCCTAAAGGGTATCTAAACAGAATATTACAAAATATTGCTTTTCACCAAATATTAGTAAGATATAACAGGAGGGGGTAATAGTCTTGATATCTTCTATTAAGTGGAGGCACTGTGGATATGGTTGCCTTTTTTGTTGTCATTTTTTCTATTTTCTATATTACCATTTGTATTTGGAACCCTCTAGAAGTAAATGCTTATCATCATCATTACTGCTATTAATAACAACAAAAGTAATATACAGAGATCTCTGACGTTTATGGTAATATACAGAGAGCTTTGACATTTCACAGAATACTTTTACATAAGATATATAACATATATTTGTGAAATATATTTGATTCCAATAGTGATATTCTTTTCAGAGGCAGATAGTAATAATATATATGTAAATATGTATGTGTATAAACAGTGTGTATGTACACATACACATATTCAGTCTCTTATAATTTTAAAGATTGCCCAGGAGTTAGCAATAGCAAACATTTTTAAAACGTAATTAGTTGTTTCTATTATTTTGGAAATAATAATACCCAATATTCAGTTTGCATTACTATATGTCAAGCTCTCATATAATCCTCATAATAACCTATTAGGTAAGTACATACTATGATTGTCTCTATTTTCAGATGAAGAAACTGAGGCACAGAGAGGTTAAGCAACCTGCCCAAAGTTACACAGCTATTAAGTGAGCAAGCTAGGATTTGAACAGTCTGTCTGAATTCAAAGCCTAGGATTTGGAGCTAGAAGACATGGATTTGAATCCCAGTTCCACCACTTTCCAGCTTCAGTTTACTCCTCTGTAAATGGGAATGATGATAACATCTACCTCACAGGATTTTAAGGGACAATATCTAATAAAGTATGTGGAAACACTATGAAAACTGGAAATGGTACATATGCTATGATGATTAATATATCTGTGTATATTCATTTATACACAAAATGACTATAAAGTAATGAGACTAGTTTGTGTAACCCTCCTTACACGTTTTTTCACTCATTATAATCTATTCTATATATATAAGATTTAAAATATGTATTATATAAAGAGACTGAGTGTTATCAACTTTGTTTCATTTTATGTAAAGAAATATATAAGAATATTTGAAGATAATTTTTTTGAAATGTTAAGTTTTTATCTGTACTATTCATATAACTATATATGTATATGTACATCTATATGTGCACTATGTTATACTGATATTATAGATCCTAGTTAATAATAAACATTTGTGTGGGTCATAATATACCTGTATATGTATGTATGTATATTTCTCTGTTAAAACAGAAGAGCTAATTTGTCAATAAAATGAGTTAAATTTGTTGGAGTGAAAGATTTTTTTCCCTTTAGAGTCAGTAAGTTGTAATATGAAAGAATTTCAAAAGGATATTTATTCAAGAACTGAATAATAAAACCTGTCTAATTTAGACAAAGCAGAGGAAAATCCTCTGAGTATTTAGATGAATAGGTGAACTATGAGAATGGTTTCAAAGAAGTGTAATTTTTACATTCCAATATAAGGAATGATAGAAATAAAGCAAACCAGAATGTAGTAGAGTGCTTCTTTCAAATAACACATATAAATGGTTTGTAATTATGGTGCCAAATTTCAGCATTGTCAGCATCTGTATATCTTGTTTATAAATTGTTTCAAAATTATTGTTGCCTTATAGACTTCTACCCTAATGATCAGATTTCATATTAAATATTATACTTGTGAGGTTTTAGTGATTATGAAGTTATTAAATAAACTAGCAAGTTGGAAATTCATTTTGTATTTTTATGTTAATAATTAGAATTGAAGTTTGTTTTTACTGAATTAGCAAGTGAATGACCCTCACACCAGAACTACAAACCAAATTGTTAGTGGAGCCTTTCTGCCTTAAAGATTTAATACTTTAGCTTCACTGATACATGGAGGTCTTTTGAAAAAATATTCACCCATATATAATAGAGTTAGTTAATTCTCTTTTAAATTTCCTAGAAAGCTAATGCTGACTAATAAAATAAATTGATTGCTCCAGAATTGATATAAATCAACATTGTACAAGTCTTTGATATGTCCTGATTTTCACTCATCTTTTCATGCTTCATCTTACCTGGAAAGCCTTAAGGATATTGTCAAAGGGTTATTACTTTTTCTTTTATTAACTTTCCAGGAGTTGCTTAATGAACTACGGAAATTTCTGGAAACTGAAAAAGATGAATTAATTTTGGATGTTCTGAACCCACCTCCCAAGAAAATTCGACTACAAGAACTGGAAGATAGAACTGATAATGTGAATCAAAATGGAGAGGGAAGGCTCTCTGTTATTGAAGATGGAAGCATTGCTTCCAAGAACTCAAATTTAAATGTTTGCAATGTATGCCTAGGAATTCTTCAAGCATTCTGTGAAAAAGATTTTATTAAAAAGGTAAACAACATGTTTTTTAATATAGGTGCAATTATGTAGAGGTTTGCAGTCCTAAGACCAAGAATTGTTGTATCAAAAGGAACATTCATTTCAACTCATTTCACACGACCAGATCATTAAAATATTTTCGTATTTTTTTTAAAAAAACAAAAGCCAACTAATCTGAAGTTATTTTTTATTAACCTATCTGAAAGTTGGTGAAATGAGTCTCCATGTATTTCAGTTATGAGTGCTGTATAATTGAAGAAAAATATAAGTTTGTTTTCCTTTTGCTATTTAACATAGCTAAGGAGTTAGAGAAAAGTTCTTAATCATACCTATTATTGTCTAGAAAGTGGTACTGCCTTGTAGAAGGTAAATGATTGAATGTGGGATTGCCTTTTGTTTCCTGCTGTCAAGATGCTATATTTGGCTTTATGTTATTTGAAAACATCTTAAAATTATGAGGTGACCTAATAGAAAACTATTTTAACACAGATTGTTCTGCAGGTGTCAGTCCTGGCTGTTTTGGTACCTTGTGATACAGTCTTTAGTAGTCTTTAGGTAGCAAATATTTAATCTCAGGGTATTTGTGAGAGTTTCTCAATCAGATGTGAAAGTTTAGAAGTTTTGCAGTGTCATCTCCTGGACCAAAATTTCATGTTATGAAGATTAGAGTAATATTTCCAGCAATTCCTGGGAATTTACATATTTGTAATACCTTTTTAGGTGTGTCAAAAGGTTGAGGCCTCTGGGTTTGAATTCACCAACTTGATATTTTCAGTCTCCTTCCCACCACAGCTGTCGGTAAGAGAGGTAAGATTATTTGCACATATAAAACTACATGTGAAATGAATGCTAGGAATTTCTTTAAAAATGGGAATGTAGAAATATTCCTTACCCTATTTTTTGCATTTTGTATACTTACTGAATGATTAAAGCAATTTATAGCTGCTTAATAAATACTTTATGAGTAAATGAATGAAAAAGAATTATCGGTTCAAATTAGTGATAGGACTGCCATCTTTTTAAAAGGCTCTCATTAAATGACTTACATTTATTGAAGTATTAGCTCTCTGTGAAGCATGATGGTCAGTGAAAGAGATTTGACCAGGTCTCCAGAGATCTTTTGAGGAGGATATGCGCATTTTATAATAGTCCTAGGATAGGGTTATTTCAATTATGAATCTTCTTATTCTCTGGAGTAAAATATAAAAAGATGGCACCTTTTCTAGTCAATGATAAAAGAGAGAGAAATAGCCTCATGTTTATTTTAACATTTTTCTTTAAGTAAAAAAAAAGTAGTCATTGTTACATTATGTTGCATTACATTATGTTACATTACCGTTACGTTGTAATGTAATGTTACATTATGAGAATGTAACATTCTTGTGTATCAAAACTGACACAAAAACATAAAGCTATCTTTGTTAACACGGTTAAATGAAGTATAGTGAGAAAATTCCTAATCTCACATTACAGCTGTGAGTTCTAAACATATCCATTTATATTTGAGATCTCTTTCCCCTAAGAGTCCCAAAACATCCCCAGAATATTACTTCTTAAACCATTACTTTCTTTGGATGAGCATTGTTGTTATCCCCAAATAGGCTGAAGATTGTTGAAGCTGGATAGAATGATAGAGAAGAGCTGGAAAGTGAAAAAGAGTAGAATGATTTTAAGTAGTAGCTCTGTTGATGACAAGATAACGGAGCAAATGGAAAAATAAAGGACGTGATGATGACAGTATATTGGCTTTATAAACAGAGTCGTTTTCTGGTCAATCATCAAAGAGTTTCTCACAGATAGGTCATCTTTAGAGTCCAATTTTGGTAGAGAGAAAGCTCAGTGACTCACAAAAAGTTGCTGCGCTTGAGTAACAGAAATAGGAATAAGAAGTATATTTTCTGAATGTGGTTATATATCTTATCACCAAACACTTCCTCTCAAAGCTTTTTACATTAAAAATTATCCATTTTTATCACTTATGATGATTTTAACTATTAATTTAATATTATTGCATACTTATGAGATATTTATATTCCATATTAGAAATAGAAGATGCTGGGTTTTCTGTTTGATTTTTTTTTTTTAAAGACAGGGTCTTGCTCTATCTCCCAGGCTGGAGTCCAGTGACCTGATCACAGCTCACCGTAACCTTGAATTCCTAGGCTCAAGTGATCCTCCCACCTCAGCCTCCTGAGTAACTGGGACTATAGGCACTTGCCACCACACCTGGCTAATTTTTTTGTTTTTTTAGAGACAGGATCTTGCTATGTTGCCCAGGCTGGTCTCGAACTCCTAGGCTCAAGCAATCCTCCTGCCTTGGCCTCCCAAAGTGCTGGGATTATAGGCATTAGCCACCATGCCTGGGAGAAAATGCTGTTTTTAAAAATAGTAAAGTTCTGCTTAAACTCTATGTTTTGTAACTGATTTTAACTAGTAAACAATTTAGCAGAAATATGTGAATATTCCAGTTATTGAAGCATTAATAGATTTCCACAGTTTAGTGTGTTTCAGTATTTTATTTGTATTAATGAGTAATGTATTTTTACCCATTCATTTCCTAAGAATAATAATTATTCCAGAAATATACAGTTTTATATGCAGTATATACTTTGCATCCCAGATTTCTTCAGAAAATTATGTTTATGGTTCCCTTCATGATCTTCTTTTATTATCATGCTTTGGTACTTTCTTTTATTGGCATCTTTTGTCACTACTTTGGAGGTGAGATACACTGTACAAGCCGGACTGGATATAAATTGCTTTTTAAACTACTTATTTCTTATACATCCCAATTTAAACTAGTTACACATATCTTCAGAAGATTTGTGCATTTTGAATATAAATTCTGTGACTTCTCTAGTACCATGTTCTACATTGTGGCTTTCAATTTAGATCTTATAAATATTTTTAACTTACAACTTATTTGTCTATGTGTAGAACAAACATATTATATTATACATGGAACTGATTGGTGATAGTTATCTCATAATTCAGAGTGGAATATACAATTGATTCAATTTGAATAATTTGATTTTTTTCTACTTCTAAGAAGTAAATTATGATCACAGATATATTGATTTGAAAGCAAATAATATTTTATCAATATGGTAGCATTTATTATATTCCTGTTTACAAAAGAACAAAGGGATGACCTCAAGTAAAGTATTTTTAAAAAATTAAACCATAAAATTTATATTAACCCATCCATATTTCTGGTCCTACCAATCCCTTTCTGGTTATAGTCATAGGTTTTGTTTATCATTGTTATAAAAACATCAATTTAAAAGCTTAGGAGGGAAAGTCTGCAATTAATATAATGATCATCATTTTCTACTGAGTTTGGGAGAGTAGGGAAGGAGGGATGAAATATATCTCCTGAATGTGTTTTTCTGATCTGGTCAGGACAGCTTTAAACTGAATACTGCCAAGGAGGAGAAAAATGAGCAGATTAACTGATGAAACACTGTTAGACATCAAGTAAGACATGGGATGCAGAATAAATAGAGGATTTAGGGATTCACAAAAGACAACAATAAGGAAAGTAGTGGGACATAATGCTTAGTCTCCAAAGTGTGTAAGGGCATAGAAAATTTGAATGATAAAGTTGAGATCATAAGGGAGAGTAATATCTCATGGTGACTTTCTGGGTTTGGGCTTACCATTGCAATGTAATAGTGGAAGGATAAGTCTTTTTTTATAAGGCTTGGATTTGTTAAAAGGAAAAATGTAATAGTGCGATATGGCAAGAAATTATATACCTGCACTGAGATTTGAGATCCTGAGAGTGGAAGGATGCTGAACACCATCAAATGGAAACTAAAAGGAGAGAGAAACAGGAAATAGATAGAGGAGGGGAAGTATACTGTATGCCATCTGGCCAAGGGACAGGTTGATGAGTTGCAGATACAAGACAGTCACAAAGGTTAATGGATACAGAAGTATGAGAGACTTCCACTGTCTAGGTACTTGATGGAAATCACATTTGGCTAGAAGTACATTATCTGAAAATTTTTGGATTGGAACAGTTTCTTCTTCTAGAGTAGTGGTTTTCTAACATGGATGACTCACTTGGAGAGTTTCCCAAGCTCCATCCCCAGAGATTCTAATATGGTAGCTTGAATTTGCATTTCTAACAAGCTCACAGGTGATGCTGGTTCTGCTGTTACAAGGACCACACTTTGAGCACCACTGTCCTAAAGGATGATAGGGGAACTAATCTAGTCCTAAATAAACATTTGATAATCTTTTAAATTTGTATTCCTGAAGGAAAGGAAGAACAGGCATAATTAGAATATATCCTAAACTTTTGATAGGTGGATTTCAAACAGCCCAAAGAAAAGACAGTCAAAGAAAAATGGCATCAGATTCTAGGCTGGAAAATAAAAGGATTGGGAGAGTCAGAGAAAGCGCAATTCACACTTTAATTCAAACCAAATTATCCCAATGATTAAAAGAAAGTTAGGGGGGAAAAATACATCCCAGTGAAGAACAAATGGGGGATCTCTCTCTGTCTCTTATTTTGGGAAATTTCTAAACTAGTAAGACTAGTCTAATGAACCCCTGTGTACTTATCATTTAACTCTAACAGTTAAATTTCTTTTTGCCAACCTGATGTCACTTTCAAAAGAAATACAGGAAAGGTGAAGTCAAATTAATGCAAATGAAAGAAGAAGGCTTAGACTTGCAAGACGAGCAACCAGAAAACTAAAGCCATTAGTGAACAGAAGCTTGCAAGAATTGCTAAGAAATATTTGGGGCACTTAAAGTTATGTTTTAAGCAAGGAAAAGATGAAATGGGGGATGAATCTGCTATTTGGAACTGATGGTATACTGCTGATAGATGATACAGACAAAGCAGACCTCTGAAAACCCTATTTTGCTTCTGTCCAGGAAAATGATCTTTACGCTGAAAAGGGTAGAATGATCATTGATAAGGGAGAGTGAAAGCTCCATGTGGCAAAGCTTCTCTAAATGGATTCAAGTGTTTGGGCTGGGTAAATTACATTCCAGGATAGATTGAGAAAGAACTTTCAGCTGTCCATGATCTTTGAGGACTTTTAAAAGATAGCAGATTTTCCAAATGACTGGAGACAGATAAGGCCAGTTCCAGTTTTTCAAAGGTGAAGAAAGTTGGTTCTGTTAACTACCAATGGTGATTTTGACTCTGAAACTCTGCCAGGATTCTAGATCAGGAACTAAAGGAGTGAATTGTGGGCACTGAGCATGAAGAAGAATTGGTTGTCAGTACACTGAACAGGTTCATTAAGAACAAATTGGGTCTGCATCATTTCTTCCTTTTACAGGCTAGCAGGACTGGTAGAGCAGGAAATACAGTAGCACCAGCACGACTGTAGCTCAGCAAGTGGTTTGACCAGGTTCCTTTCTCATGATAACTTCCTGAAAGTGGCAGGAAACATGAGCAGGATGTGAAAACAATTGGTTGGATTGTGCCAAACTGACCATACTCAAAAGGAACTGATTAATGACTAGTATCACATTGGACAGTGTTTCTCTAAATGTCTGAAGATTGCCCATGTGAATTTCACTTGGGGGAAGGTATTGAAACAGATTGGTGGGCCTTGTCTCAGACCTCCTAAAACATAATCTCTAGAGGTAAGGGCATGGAAACTCCTCAATGATTCGTGTACACATTGAAATTTAAGGATCACCGAACTTCAGGGAGATTTCTGGTGTGCTGTAGGGCTCTTTCTATACTCTGTCCCATAGGTATGGATGACCCAGAGTTGAGAATATAGAAGATAGGTTGAGTGTTAGAATTAAGATTTAAAAAGATCTTGAGAATGGGG